TTATCCTCTCGTATACAACACTTATATACCATGTTTAAGGTTACATAAATAATCAAGGAATTTTATTTGATATTCATAAAATATTCATAAATATATGCACATAAAATGATGAATAAACTCTTTGGTTAAATAAATAATAAATATCCTTTTACATCTTATGCTTCTAGGACACTATTCCCAACAGCAGCATGTTCCTTCGACATGAAGTTCACGTACATATTAACTGGTTGGGAAGGGTCAGCACATGATGCACGAGTGCTTAAAGATGCCGTCGACAAACCGAAGTTCAAATTCCCACGTCCACCACCAGGTAAGAATCCAAATTGTCGACATAATTCTAAGTCATATACATGTTACGACCTACAAATTCCAACAAAATTCGTTTAAGTTGCACAGAAAAATACTACCTTGTAGACGCGGCATATGCAAATAATGATTGTTTCCTTGCTCCATATAGAGGTGGGACATACCATTTGCCTGACTACCGAAGGAGAAGTAGTGGTTTTAGGGGACCTAGAGATATTTATAACTACAAACACTCTTCGTTGCGAAATTGTATCGAGCAAACTTTTGTTGTTTGGAAGGCTAGGTTCCCCATCTTAAGGCGGCCAAATAACTGTTACCCAATGAGCAAACAAGTGAAGATTCCTGTGGCATGTGCAATCTTACATAATTTTATTCACATGGTGAACGAGGGGGACCCGCTTCTGAATCAATATTACCGTGACGGTGTACCGATTAGTGAAATAGATCCAACCAATAGTGATGAATTTGATGACGTTGGCAATTCCAACAATGACGACAATGCGCCCGAAGGGTCAACAGTAACAAGAGCTACAGTTAGCCGAACAGAGATGTGTCAATTTAGGGATCGCATTGCGAATGAAATGTGGGTGGAATATCAAAGAAGCCGCGGGAGACAAGGTTGACAGTGCAAATCAGCAATGGGGTTCTACAATATTACTTCATATGCTTGTATCAATTATATTTGAAATATGAATGAATATACATTCTGTTAAGACCTTTCATTTTAATTTTTTTCCTCTGCTTTTTCGTGGACACATTGCTTGGACTATTTTTATTATGTATGTTGTGTGTGTATATATTTGTTCATTTATTTTAGTGTGCCGAAGAGAGTATGGGGGAGTTGCCATGTCTCAGGAGATCTCAGCCTTCTGGGGGTTTTCGTGAAGCCAAAGAGGTTAGTTTGCAACACTACTAGTATTGCATTGCAAAAATGTTAACTTATGCTGCTTTGGTGGTTCTTGGTTGTTGGTTGTTCTTGTGTTTGTGTGACGTTATTTGTCACGAGGACTTGGCTTTTGAAGAGTTTGTGAGAAAATTGAATGCATTTGTTATTGCAGGGGGACCCCTTCCGCGCACTAGGCGAATCTGTCTCGACATTCATCTTTTGTACTCGGTTGCAGGTGATATATTTTTTGTTGTAGTGCTTGTTGATGGTTTTCTGTTATTGATACTTTCAACGTTGTTTCTTATCATTGTCTATATTGTTAATGAGCGTTGAGATTTAAGGTGTTTTCTTTATAGAATGGTTGCAGTATTTTCTGTATGGCCTCAAAATTGTTTGAATTCTATGCAAATATCTTTTATCCAGTGTATTGATGACAATGTACAGATCCAAAAAGGCAGCTACAAAAGCAATTTTTGTAGTTGATTTTTTTCCTCAAATTGAAAGTTCTAGTTTTGCACATTTTTTCCTCAAAATGATTGAATATGTTTCCCAACTTTTACTATGATCCATTAATACACCCAATACCCAGCACTAATAAGGATCGGCCAGAGAAGAAAGTATATGACAATGACGACGATGATGACTTCCTTTTGCCGGACGAGGTAGAACCATTCCTAAAAGATACGTCTATACGTGTTGTGAATGTACTAGATAATGAATGAAGAAATTCGTCTTTCCTTAGAAATTTACTGGCGTGCTTCAGCATTTTAAGCTTGGCAGACATAGCTACCCATTTTACAGAGGTCATTTCATTTCATTTCTTGAAGTATATCGTTTGTTACAGGTAAGAAAGGTTCTTTATTTGATAATATCTGCAACAAACATGCTCCATTCGAACATGGTATGATACTTTCTGCTATGAATTTGTTGTTAAATCTGGTTTTACATTTCGTGTGCATTGTACTTTGATTCAAGTGACAGTAATTTTGGTGGCTTGCAACTATTAATCATTTTGTTGAAAAATCAAAATCAATATGTCTTCAATCTAGTAATGATGAGTATAGTGCTAAGGTGATAGCTAGCCGAGTTATAACTAGTTGTTGTTCCCGACCTTTGGTAGTGTAATGCCATTGTTGTTCCCGACCTATGGCTCTCTTCCTGCTGTTTGATCGGTTTTGGCTTGGGAGGAGGCAAGTCTAGCACTCCATTTCACTCTAACCCAATATCAGGCAGTATGACCCAACTTCGAACATATTGTAACCTTTGGCTACATTCATGTTGATTCAATTATTCTTGAAATGTCTTATATTCCTTCTGTAATAGTTTGGCGTTGATTAATAGGTGTCTTTCAACACCTTCCTGTGAGTAATGGCTTTTCAACTACGGATTGCTTCAATTATTGAGGCCTTATAAAAAAGTGTTATGTAAGCTTGTTCATATGGTGAGCACTACATATGGAGAAGAAGCAAGCACTGCCTGTCTAGGTGAAGAAATTGATGATTTGATGCCAGGAGACGACATTGCAGAGTTGTGTCCCTCACCAGAAAACTTCAATTCTGACAAGCCAATCTTTGGAGTTAGTTTATGTCGTTTTTCCTTTTACGACAATCATATTTTTTCCCAGTCAAAAACAAAGTGGAATTCGTGCAGCATAATTCCATTTCGTTTTCCTATTTACGACAAATTGTAAATCAAAATGGATATGAAGAATATTCGGATATATTCCACTCCAGTTTCTTTTTTTCAACTTCCTCTGAAATTGGTCTAAACAAAATTTCACATTTTTCCCCCTATTTCATAGTTAGATTGTTATAATTTTGAGTTATAAGTATTTGTATAATTTTTTTCTAATACTTCATTTTTTTAATTATATAAGGAATTATATTTTTTTACATTACACGTAATTATTATATAATTTTTTTAACTTTTATATAATATTTATATATTTTGGTCATGATTCAAATTCATAAAATAAGACAATCAAACACTGGTTCGAATCACATTTCAGGTTAGAATCAGAATCATACATATACACATCCAAACGAAGGTTCTAATCACTCTGAATCATGATTCAAATCATGAATCATGGATCTGAATCAAATGACTCAAATCACCCTGATTTAAATCCTTATACCAAACGGACCCTAAATTTGGGAGTTTTCAATTATTGGACTTGTTGAATTAATTGGAAACTGGTTTTGATGATTTCTGGAGAATTTATTTTAGAACTGAACTTAAATTGCAGGTTTGACATTTTTCCTATTTTACCGGCATGCTGCCGAAATTTCTTTACTAACTTGTTTTTAAGTCGAAATTCAATGGGAAAATCAAACCAAAGAATTGAATTTTAATCTGAAAGAACCCCCAAACTGAATTATAAAGTCGTTTGTGAAACTTAGATTGAGTCAAGGCACACTAATAGGAAGTAATTAGACATGATTGAGCTTGATTCGTTTTAAGAATGAGAATTATATCCTAAAACATTGTTTTTGTGATAAAGCTAATGGAGAAGATCGAGTATTAAATCTTTAAGGGAAGCGGAAGCTAAGGTGACAAGAAGTTAGCCACATGTTTTATATCCGCGAGAGGTAGGATATTCTTGGTCATATCCTTGTTAGCCTATTTTAAAGTGTTTTGGCCTATGTAAATGTTTTTAAAAACAAGACATGTTTAATAAAGAAAAGTATTTTAAAACAATAGCTTGATTACTGCTATTGATCTCATTATGAACTGATTTAAAGTTTTAATGAATACTTTCTTAAGATAAGATTTCTTACGAACTGATAAGCCCGCTGATGGCCTAGACAAGATATGGAGATCCTGTCCTTGGGGACAGAACCCGAAACTCGGACGGGCCACTACGTTGGTGATAAGGCATTGCATTGGTCGTAAGTAATTTATCATTAAATTACTTGCCGGTTGCTTGAAATCTGAAATTTAAGTTTATTTACCTTTCAGTAAAAAGTTGTTTGGTTCCGAATGAATCTTTCAAACCTGTATTTTCATTATTTATTCAGTTTTTATAAATTTTATCATACTAGGTCTTTAGCTTACTTTTTCTATGTTTCAAATGTGATTTAACCCCACCCAGACGACGCTAGAAGTGGCGCACAAAAGGTGAGGAAATCCGTTCAAGAAGAACGAAAGCGGTGAAGTGTTTCTTCCATTATCGTACTCATTTTAAGGCATGTATAAACTACGGATTGTAAACCTTAAAATCTACTAGACTATGGTTAATATCAATTATTTTATTTATGTATTTGTTTATAGATGCAAAAGTGTAAACCATGTGGATGCCAGAGGCTGACTATTGATGTTAATTTTAACGATGATTGTGTTTTGTAAAGTGTCACTTTTTCTTAAAAACTCAATTTCCTTAAAATAGTAGGGTTTGTTTAAAAATACCTGAATATTTTATATTTGAAATCAAATTTTGAACTGTTAATTGTTTAATTTCTTTCTTAATCAAGTTTAAGTTTCTAAACAAGTATCCACATCACTAACCCCCGTTTAGGGGCGTGACACTCAACCATTCCAAAGATGTTCTCTATCAAAGAAGCTCCGGCTGACTCTGAAGAAATCAGGAACAAGCTTCTGAAATGATGTGCTAATAGTCATGATCAGTTCCAGCACATCAATCTTTTATGGACGAATCAAAAGTTCGTCATATAGTTGCCCTTTAAGAAGAATGAAGACATCAACCCAACTAAGGCTACTCACCCAGGAATGACTCTATCAGATCTAGCCTTAGCACGAGAAGAATGTGCACAGCTTCTCAAACAAGGGTTAATCGAGCCCACAAAGTCATATTAGGCTTGTCATGCCTTCTATGTAGAAAAAAGATCAGAACAGGTCCGTGGAAAGAAAAAATTAGTAATCGACTACAAGCCTTTGAACTTGTTCATGAAAAATGATAAATTTCTTATTCCAAGAACCAGCTCCCTATTCACTCATCTGAAGGAAGCTCAGGTCTTCTCAAAGTTTAAGCTCAAAAGAGCATTCTGGCAATTGGGAATTGATCCAAAAGATAGGCCCAAAATAGCCTTCTGCATTCCAGACGCATAGTACCAATGGCGAGTCCTTTCATTTAGACTCAAGACGGCCTCATCACTGTTCCAACGAACAATTGCTCAAATCTTTGAGCCAATCATGTACAATGTCTTGATCTACATAGATGACATCCTACTGCTCTCAAAAGAAGCAGAGGCCCACAAAGTCTTACTGGCCTAATTCCATCAGATAGTGATGCTCTCAGAAAAGAAAAGCCAAATAGGATAAACCCAAGTCGAATTCTTAGGGATGCAAATATCCCAAGAAAAGTTTCAACCTGACCCACACATAGCTCAAGAATTATTGACGTTTTCAGATAAGAACCTCACTACAAAGCAGATTCAACAGTTATTGGGAATAATCAATTATCTCAGTGATTTTATTCCACGTGTTACTGAACATACTAGCCAGCTATCAAAAATGCTGAAGAAGAATCCTCCTCAATGGGGAACAGAATAAACATCCGCTGTCATAGCACTGAAAAAAGTGGCACAGTCACCTCCACCTTTAAAGATTCTAAGCACATGGAAAAGAGTCCTACAGACAGACACAAGTGACCATTATTGGGGAGCCATTCTCATCAAAGAAGATAAGGACAAGAAACACTACTGTAGATATGCTAGTGGCCAGTTCAAAAAATCAAAAAAACACTATCATACCATCTATAAAGAGATTCTTGTGGTAAAGTATGAAATTTAAATTTTTAATTTCCATCTTAGAGGTTATAATTTTGAGGTTCGTATGAATAATTCATCATTTTCTAAGGTCCTTAATTTTAAAAACATGACTTTTCTTGATCCGCAATTACTCAGATTTAAAGATTTGTTTGCAAGATGACTTTTCTGTCAAGCATATAAAAGGCCATCACAACCTCATCCCTGATTTCTTAACTTGACCAAAACCAATTCAAGTCATCACCCCCGTAAAACCTTTTCACTCATCCTCATGGCTACCAGTATCAGTACACCGATGTGTCCCTGTAAAACCAAATCATCATTTCCCTCCTGGTCTAAATAGTTCATCAACGCTTGGTCAAATCCAGTCCTAACCCAAAAACTATCTTTTTTATTATCTAACCAATGTTTGTAACAAAACCAAGAATCCTCAAGCCAAGTTCTTATACAATACAGAACAATCATACCTAAACATCTACAACCTCTACCCTTTCGACAAAATCGCAGAAGATGACATTTGGAACCTATGGTGCCAAACAGCTCTCTATCATATCGCTCTCAACTGTCCACTCATGCAGCTCTACACACAGCTCACTGACCCCAGCAATGAAGGATCAACTCTGTGGCTACCCTTAAAAATGTTCTCTCCACTCATGTGGTGGAGAAATAAAGTCTCAAGACTCCTCCAAAAATACAGAATCTGGACCTTCTCTTCAACAGAAGTCCCATCAGTGCACACCATCTTCTTTCTACATCGGGCATACCTGATCAACTTAGAAACTCAGACACTGCACACATAGAACATTGTGTATACTTGGTATACCGGTTTCAACTATCTCAAATCACTTGAAAAGATCACAGGCCACGCCATCAAATGTCTGTGCAGAGAAAATGAATACAAGCCAAAGTCTGCTTCACACAAATGTATCAGTTCTGCAATAGCTCCACCAATCGAGGTCTATGGTCTATACAACATCTTCACAGTAAGCAATCTTGGCTCATACAAAGACACAACAACCTCCACAGCACCTCCATCATTCCAGAACTTACAAGAACTAGAAGACTAGACCTAGCACTATTCTAGGATTACCAGGACCCAAACTATGATTCATCACCCAACAAGCGACAGAGACCCTGCTACTATCATGGATATGGCTCAGTGGACTCTGACTCATTAGATTGGTTCAATCTCAACTTATCTCCTGATCAGAACAGTCGTTGAGATCCTATCCTCCAGCTGGCATGTACTTAGTCAAAAGTAACTTTATAAAAGTTATTTTGGAAAAAAGTAGTTCTTATCTTGTAATAATGATATGCTTAGGTGTCCTTGCTTAAGTGTCCCTGTTTAGGTGTCTAGATAAGATTTTTATCTTATCTTATAATAAAGTAGCTTTATACAAGATTGTGACATATGTAAAAAAATCTTATCTTATCTCTAATTTAGATAAGAAGTCTACATGTGTAAAGTAGGTTAAGCTTATCTCTTGTAATAGTTTGTAAACTTCAGCTATAAATAGAGAAGCTCTCCCTCATCAGAGGCAGGAACGAACCTTGTAAACATTTCTCTTAAGCAATATACTATGAGTTTCTAAGGAGTTCTCTTTTCTCTTTGAAATTCTAAGTTTCTTCCTTTATATCATAATAAGTTATCCTCCTGATTAGTATGCTCTGTGCTTGCCTCTAGTAGAGGACCCTGCACATCACAAAGTTTAAGCCTAAAGATCCTTGCTACGATCTCCATGATCACAAGTAGTTTGAGCATTAGAAGGCTATAAGTCCTAGTGGTGATGGACGCAGTGGCCACAGTTGGTCAATGCTTATGGTTTTTAATGCTCTCGGCCTGCCATACCAGGGCGTGTGGAGTGCTGAGAGAAAGTTAGGTAAGTACGTCTTAATCTCCAATTAGTACTAATCTGGACTCTCACCGTTAGTATAAAGACGAAAAATGAGTAAAAGATGACATTCCTTTTACACCTAAAATTTAAAGGCCAGACTGTTTATAAAATAAAAAATATGTAAATAA